ATTGAGAATCTTGGAGTTACAAAGGTATTTCTTATATACATATATGACATTAAGGATTTAATTGCACAAGTCCGCTATATATACGTTAGTTTCGGCGTTCACGTAAAACTTTAGTCACCTCCTTGTTTGTCGTTTTTTGCTTGCGCAACCCAAGGACCAAAACGATACCATTGATATTACAGACAATGATATTAGAGTTCTCGGCAATTTCCCTCTTCTCCCGCGATTACGACGTCTTTTGCTTGCCAATAATCGGATCACACGGATCGATCCCCAACTCGCTGAATATCTTCCGAATGTGAACACGATAGTTTTGACAAACAATAACATTTCCGAACTATCGGAACTAGAACCGTTGGGTGGGCTTAAAAAATTACAATATTTGAGTTTATTGGATAATCCCGTTACGAGAAAAAAGCATTATAGATCGTATGTCATTTGGAAAGTACCAAGTGTAAGAGTGTTGGATTTTAAACGAGTACGGAAGGTGGTGAGTGAAACCGGTGATTTATAGTGTGTTGTTCTGATGGAAGTAGGATTTGTTTTACATGACATTTGCTGGTTTCTGTGCCATAGATTATGGGGTTCAATTATGCGTATGTTTATGGAGCAGGTTCAAAAAGTGTGTTGTGCTCTAAAGCGTTTTTCGTCTTTACATTTCCTGATTCTAGGAACGAGAGGAAGCTCAAAAACTATTTGTCACAGCAGATGGATCGGAATCATCGCTTGCCAAGTCCATCTCGGAAACGGCCGCAAAGACATTCGAGCCGGGCGAAGGCATATTTCCATCTACGAATAAACCTAATGTTCCAACTCATGGAACGACAACGTCCGAAGACCAGAACAAGATCAGGGTCTGTAAAAATACGACGGCCATTTGCGTTTTCGTCATTGCGTACATGATACTGAAAATTTTTGTTAAATCTAATAGGAAGCAATAAAGAACGCAAAGACTCTGGACGAAGTTGCGCGTCTTGAAAAACTTTTACAATCTGGTCAGATACCGTTGTCTCAGAATGATGACGGTGGTGGAGGTGGAGGTGGGAGTAATGAAGAGGAAGAAGATGATGAAGAGATGGATGAAGCTTGAGGAGATAGCGTTATGCTGATGCACAATTTAATCTTGGGGTTTGCTTTTTCTCTTTTTTTCGATGTTTGTGCAAGTACTATGTGATCATGAGAGTGAGAGACATTAATGCCTATAATGAAAGTGCTTAGAAAATATGGTTTATGTCTTGGTAATGTGGTCATAATTTAGATCCGTACATTAATGAGGATGCATTTGTCACAAAATAAATGCTCTCGTAATAGAAATTAATAACACGAGCCATATGCATGTTTTTTAGATGATTAAAAAAGACCACTTTATTTCGAATAGACTTAAAAGTTAGTTCAATTTACAAACTCCAATTCTAGGCGCAAAAAGAGAGCCCAACAACATAGTGTTGCGGCTATGATCGACGGCAGCCACCGTGAGTGCGTAAAAAGTTTCAGTGTCTTCTAATAATACTTTCTGGGAATATTTCTTTCCATAATACCTATCCTCGTTCATGTTGTCCGATATTTTAACGACAGCGCTTGACGGGTTCTTTGTTTTCCCTACCGATTTAACATATGAAGCAAAGTCGGCAGCTCCGAGAAAAGCTACGCCAAAGAGTCAAATGATAAGGATTTCAGTCGAAATGCCGAGTAGTCTTTACTTTTGTGAATGCCCTCCCCCCTTTTTTACCTGCATAATACACTTCATTTGTTACTTCGTCAACTGAAACATTATCTGGCATGCCTTCAGCGGGTATTCTTTCTATTTCAACGAGGCGATTGTCGGCCTTCCTATCGTATACCACAATTGCAGGATCGAGCGTGGATACAACGTATACACGAGATAGGTCTCGATTCGTCGTAATACCATTTGCCGAGCGTAGACCATCAGCCACGACATTCGTAGTATTAGTTTTGCCTGAATGGAACACCACATCAGAGTACGGTAACCGGAGAAAGACTAGTTTGAAGAGAAATAGGAAATTACTAAAAACGATCCAGTGATTTTAATTTGTAGCTGGATATTAAACGGACGGTTGTATACGTACGTTGTGCATTTCTCATAAACCAATGCTTATATTTAATGTCATTTGTGACATAGAATTCGTTCTTTGATATGGGCGCGATGTCATTGGGGGCAATAATCAATTCGTGCTTGACTGTTTCCACGTGTTTCAGTTCATCCGTTCCTATTCTGTGTTCAAAAATCTCAATCACGCTGCCTGATGTCTTGTGATTTACAAAGAAGAGAGTGGGGTTTTCAGGATCGTTTGGGTCATCATACATCCCGAGACCATGCAGGATGAAATCATCGTCAGGATAATTGATTAGTTTTAACGGTTTTACAATACCCGTCTGTAAAGAGAATGTTTTTGTTAGTCACAATACCGATTTGGATGTAGAGGGAGAGAAGGCATGCGTTAATAATGCATATCTGAATTTTTTTTGTCTATTTGGCGCGTATTCACGCGCGTTAAACTTGAAAGACGTATGATGGTAGATGATAGCTTACGTTTATATCATATACAAATGCTTGATCTTTGACGGTAGGAGCCTCGTTCCTTATTCCAATAGGAGGAAACCATCGAACCATTCGTGATTCCGCATTGCCACATGCAAGGAAAGCAGATCCTGATTTATGATGAATAACGATATCCTCACATCCTTCCAATCCTGATACATACATTATAAAATCAGTTCGAAAATACCCAACCCACTTCTATATAGATATCATATAATATATACAAATGTGAACAAAATAACGAAATTTCTTTGCCATATATAACCTTCGACGATTTTACAATTATCCAAGCCAAATTGGCCAACAGGTCTATTGACAATAAAGATACGATAAGTTTCCTCCAACCAGTTATAATTGACTGCTATAATTATAATAAATATAGTTGTTGCGACCGTAAAGGCGTTGAGGAAGCCCGATTTTTGAGTCGAACGAGCAGTAGAGGAAGAAGCTTTTGTTTTTTCTGTTGAGGCCATGACCACTGTTAGCGTTGGGACATCAAATGAAATCGTTGTCGGTGAGAGATCCAAGGTACTTTATTGAAAAATCACGTATCACAAATATACAAACGTGATTAAATTACCCACGATGTTTCAAAAACTTGGATTTCTTCATTATGGGCAAACGGAAAAGCATTCAGCCCACATATCATATTTGTGCCACGATCTCATGTGAAATCGGATATACTTTAAAGAGAGAGAATGTTGGCCGATCCTTTTATTATTCGCTAGCGAAACATCTTCAGTGATGGGAAAATTCTAAAAATAATCAAACAATTGTCGTGTCAATTGACAGCACGTTATTACAGAATCAATATATTTGCAGACTGGATCCTTCATTTCAAGTTAGCCGAAGGCAAAGCTACTTTGTAAACCAAATCTCGACCGGATAAACCACATAAATGGCATATTATATTTAATAGAAATTGCGAAATGACAAACTATTTAATATGTCGGTAGTTAGGCATGCCATGCTTATACCTTTTACCGAATAAAATTGTGTATGCCAAATATTGGTTAAACCCGAGCATTTACTCCGTTGACCGACGGGGAAAGATCCATCGATTGACTTCAGTATATGAATTTTATGTACGCTAAATTTTGTATGAATGTTACCACAAACTCATTTAATACAAAAAAAAACGGATATTTTTTTATCCGACGTAAACGCGTCCCACGCGTTTGTTTTTCGTCCAATTTGAGAGATGTAAGATGGAAAATAAACGTGATAATCAGGAGTAAATCTGAACCTTAGTGTACTGTACTTTTTGTATTGTGTACAAACACATACCCGCTTCTAAGCAAAAAAGCAGGGTCGATGCATATTACATTTTTAGAACGACGGCATTCACAATGGCCAGGAAATTCATCGAACAAACATTCCACTTTCTATTATTTATCACGCATGATGAAATGGTCGATAGTGTTTAGAACCAAATACCATGAATTAGTATCGCGGCACAATTAGTCGCCAACTGCTGCTAATACGAACGTAGTTTTCATTAGCGGAGTGCGAGTATTTAATCATGAACGTACAGTTGATCGAACGTTTTAACGAAAATCTGCTTATTGAGCAAATCATCACCATAGAATATCGAATGGAAATACAAAGAAAGATGGCCAAAAAATGGTTTTTAATAATCCGTTTTAATTGAATTCTCCCATTCAAAATCAGGTCGTTTTTTTTGACAACACGTAAATAGTACACTACCCTACCATAAATCACCGGATTTTTTGTCACGTGGATCAATATGATCATTTTACAAAAAAAGTTTTTCAAATATCGTTGCATACTAATACCGTGCAAATAAAATACGCTACGTAGAATAATAACTTCTATTCTCCTGCTACTCTTCAATTGTTAAAAGCATAA